CCTTCTACCTGCATGGTTACAGCAGCCTCCTGGCTGCTCTTCCTGCTGTCAGGCTTCCTTCTGATTCTGTACTCGATGTCAGATTGATCTCTGTAAAACATTACATTTAAATCATGTCAGATTTCACTCCTACAGAGTGAGAGCCAAACTTCTCAGCCCTACACCCAGAACCCTTCATTGGCTGCTTCCTGCCCACCTTTCCAGCCCTCTCTTCCACAACTGTACTCACCTCCTGCTCTAGCTGCATGCTCTGTTCCCTAGCCTCGAGACACAATGTTTTCCTCCCTGGACCTTCCCCAGTAGTTTGTGCTCCTTCCTTCAGAGCCGCCTCTGCCTCTCCAAGTCCCGCCTGTCCTTTGAGGTTCTCTGCAGTGCACGTCCTCATGATGCCCTCTCTGGTCTTTCCCACCCTGAAATGTTCATTCTTTCTGCTGAACAGCCAGAGTATTTTATTTTTACCCCTTAGTGCCTTGGGCAGTCCATGAGCCAGCACAGCATGGGCCTCACCTGGGAGCTTGTTAGGAATGCAGATGCTCAAGTTCCACTTGTGTCCCATGGAATCAAAGTCTGCATTTCAACATGATCTCTAGGTGACTTATGTGCACATTTAAGTTTGAGAAGCACTGGACAGTGTGGCCATTGAGGATGAGATCTTATTTCTGCTTGGAGGTGGCCTTCAGCCAGGGCTGGTGATATTCTCAAGTGCAAGGTTTAACAGCCCCTGTCAGGTGACAGGTGCCATATCTGGCCATATCCCCTCAGCTGTGGGAGAGGGTGAATGGTGGAGATGACTGAGAAGGATATTCTTGGCTAGAATCTTTCCACCCGGAATCTATACCCCGCAAGGTCCCAGAGCTCAAGCTCTGTAAATCTGACTCCGGAAAGCACTCTCATGACACAAGTAGGAATCAATTAATCAATAAAAAAGCAGTTATCAAGCATATAGCAGAACTCTTCCCTCTTCATACTATACACGTTGGTAGAAATGCCTGTTATTTTAATGTATGTTTTGAAAAGAAAAAGATGTAATTTTGTTTTTCTTTATTATAACATTAATATGGGTTCTAAGTAGTAACTTTAGAAAATACAATATGTCACATGAGGAAAATAAAAATGACTCACCATTCTAGTATCCAGCTGTAAATACTGCTGATTTAATATTTTAGATTGCCATTCATTCATCCTACAAATATTTACAGAACCCTACTACATGCCAGACCTGTGGCAGGTGCTAGGGATTCAGGATGAAGAAATCAACAAGGTTCCTATTTTTAAGCATCTCACAGCCAGGAGGTGGGCTGTAGGAGACAGGCACTGAGTGAGTTAGGAACAGCAGTGTATTCATTTCCTAGGGCAGCTGTAACTGGGTGGCTTCAAAAACAGAAATGTATACTCTCATGGTTCTGGAGGCTACGAGTCTGAAATCAGGTGTTGGCAGGGTTGGCTCCTCTGAGTGCCGTGAGGGAGAATCTGTTCCTTGCATCTTCCCTGGCTTCTGGTGACAGGTGGCAATGCTTGGTGTTCCTTGGCTTATTAACGCATCACTCCAGTCAATGCCTCCATGGTCACATGGCATTCTCCCCATGTCTCTGTCTTCACATGCCCACCTTCCCTATAAGGACACTAGTTATACTGGATTAGGGACCCCCTCCACTCCATCATGACCTCAGTTTATCACATATGCAGTGACCCTGTTTCCAAACAAGGCCACATTCTGAGGAACTGGGATTAGAACCCCAACTTTTTGGGGAGGAGGAGAACACAATTCAACCTATAACAGTCAGGGACCGTACAGAGTGCAAGGGGAGATTAGAGGACTGACCTTGTCTGAAAAGACTCCCAGGAAATGACCTTCAGACTGGAATTGAGCCAAAAGTAGGGATTAGCCAGGCAAAGGTGGAGGGACAGACAAATATAGGGTTCTCAGATCATGGGGGTGGGGCTGGGCTGGAGAAGAGCATTCCAGGCAGGCAGGAGACAAAGTGGCACTTTTGAAGAATGAAATGAAGTGAGTATGACTGGAATACAGTTGGGGCAAGAGGCGCAGGATAAGCTGGGAGATGGAAGAGAAAGACGGGGCTGGGTCACGTGGGCCCCCGGGCCTTGGTGGGGTGCTTCTCCTTTGTCCTGAATGAAATGGGAAGCTATGGGAAGGCATCAGGCAGAGGTGATTCATTTTGCTTTGTAGGCTGCCCCTCCCAAGACTGAGCTCTCAAAAGGCTGTGTTGTTCCTCTGAATCCCTGGTTCTGAGGAAAGACACATAGCCATGTCCTCAGGAGCCCCCGGCTGAGGGAAAGCACATGGCAGCCCCGTGCAGGAAAGGAGGCATGGCCATGCCCCCAGCAGCCACTAGCTGGAGGGTGGAAGATAAGGCCTGCCTTCAGGAACCATGTTCTGAACAGGCGACAGGGCCCACCCAGCCCTGAGCCTGCCTTACCCTTGGGTCTCCTGAGTCCTTAGAGTCTGGGGGACACAGGTTGGGGCCTGGCCACCCCATCCCCTGCACTGCCATGAGGACTGTGACTGAAACTGTTTCCAGGGCCCACATGGCTCACTGAGGCCAGAGGCCCCCGTGCTGAGGATATCAGGGGCTAGGTCTTCCAGGTCTTGCAGAGGCCACACCTCCAGCACCCTGCTCCCTTCAAGGGACATCTGGAGTCCGTATTGCCTTCCCATGCAGGAACCCATCGATCTGGTGCTCAACCCATCCCTTGCCACACCCTCAGAGGGCCACCCCTTTTCTGCGTGTGGTGGGAGAAGACCACCCTGCTCATAGCTGCCTGGCCCCACCTTTCCTGGGCTGGATGGGCCTGGCTGGGTGGGCCAGGCTGGGTGGAGGAGAAGTGGGTCAGCTCGGTAGCCATGGTGACAGCAGCTGCTCCCTGCCAGCCTTCGCATCTCCTCACCACAACCACAAACCTCACCGATAAGTTCCTTTGTCCGGTCTGGTGGGGATGGGGGCCAGGAGGGTGAGCCTGGGGGCTGGTGTGTGTATGAGTGTGTGTGTTCAGGCTTGCACAACCCCCTGCTCAGAGCAGGCATGTATACCTCAGCCATGGGACCCTGCAGCGGGGGGTAAGACACTTGCTGCTTCCCTGCCCACTGCAGTGATGGGGCTCTTCCTGCCTCTCTGGGGTGGACAGGGGCCAAGGGGAGGGTGTGTGTGGGTGTGTGCTGGTGTGTACACACATGTGAGTCTCTGAATGCCTGTGGCTATCTGTGTGACTGCTTTTGTGTGGCTGCTTTGTGTGGATGAGTGTCTTGGTGGGGGTGAGTGCGCATATCTGGGTATACAAGTGATTTTGTCTTTAAGTGTGTAATATATGTGTGGGTCTGATGTGGGGTCACACATTTGAAATCCCATGTGCCGTGTGTGTGTGTGTGTGTGTGTGTGTGTGTGTGTGTGTGTGTGTGTGCGCGCGCGCGCGCGCAAGCCTGGCTTGGGGGAGACAAAGGTCTGCACAACCAGGAGAGAAGCTGCCACAAATGTGCTCCCCACACTGGCTGGGTGTGCATCCTTGATGTAGCCTGCCGCCCCCACCACACACCAATCCCTGTTGCCCACCTGCCTCTCTCTGAGTGGGGAAGGGAAAGGCTAGAGCCCTCTTTCTCTCTGTGGGTGCAGGCACTGGCCTCTGACAAGGGCACAGGTTAGCATGGGTGATGTGGTGGGCAGTCCTGGTGCTGGATTAGGGTTGGAGCAGGGGTCTCAAATGCCAGACCCAGTATCCAGCAAGGGGTTAGGAGCTGAGATGCTGGCACAGTTTCATGACCACCTCCCAGTTTGAAAGGTGCAGGGACTGATTCCACACTTCTCCAGGGGCAGCCAGGGCCACAGTGGGAGGTGATTCTGTTAGGCTCCAGGCCTTCCTCTGAAGGGTTGCACCTGGTGTGGACTTCAGACCACTAAGAACTAACACGTGGACCATCCTTTACTATTTATAAATGCATCATTATTAGTGATAATAATTATCCAACTGAGCATTTAGCATGTCTCACCCTTGTTTTGTAATATTTTATATAATAATTCTTAAGCAGACATTACTAATCCCACTCTAAAAGGAGGAGCGTGAGGCTCAAGGGGTTTGTGAAGGAAGTGCTTCATCGCACGACTTGTAGGTGACAGATCTGGGTTTTGAACCTAAGTCTGTCTCCAGAGCACGTGTTTCTGCTCTGCTTTCCTGCTCCTTGTTGTCTCGTTTGAGCCCCAGTCCAGCCTGGAGAGTCGGGGAGGGCCAGGTGGCAGGTAGCCATTTTATAGAAGAGGAAATGGAGGTTCAGAGAAGCCAAATGACTTTGTCAGGGTCACATGGTGGGGCAGGGGACAGAGCTGGGAGTGTCTCCTCCACCTGCTGGGCATGTCACAGATTGTCTGGGGAGGGACACTGACCCCATTAATCAGGAGGAGGATGGAGGAAGGGAGAATAGGGTCTAGAACTCCTTAGCAGTGGGCCCTGGTGAGCCCCTTTAGAAATCTTAAAGTTGTGAAGCTTCAGCAGTTAGTCATTAGAGTGCCTAAAGGCAGATTAGGAGACCCAGGGTTTGGATGATTTTACAATTGAGGTAACTGAGACTCAGAGAGTTTAAATGATTTGCTCAAGTTCACACAGCTATTCCCAAAGTCTACTGTTTGTTTGTTTCTTTAATTAAATGTTTTTATTTTAGAGATAGGGTCTCACTCTGTTGCCTCAGCTAGAGTGCAGTGGCTCCATCATAGCTCATTGCAGCCCTGGGCTCAAGCGATCCTCCTGTCTTAGCCTCTCAAGTAGCTGGAACTATGGACATATGCCACCACACCCAGCTAATATTTTAAAGTTTTGAAGAGATGAGGCTCTTGCTATGTTGCCCAGCATGGTCTCAAACTCCTGGCCTCAAGTGATCCTCCCTTCTTAGTTTCCCAATGCTCTGGACAAAGTTTATCTTTTTAGTCTACAAGTTACTGGAAGCCCTTAAGGGGAGGTGTCATCCCTAGCCCTTCCTCTAAGCTTCCCTCTTCCCTTCCAGACCCTTTTATCATATCACCTCCTCCTGGGAGCCTGCCCTGATTGCCTTCACCTCATTTCTTGAAAATTGGTGTCTTGGCAGAAGTTGACTGAAGCCTTGTGCAAATGCCCTAAGGGGTGTGCTGTTGGGAGGGGCACAGCCCCCTGTGATGTGGAACACCACGCTCAGATTCATCAATTTGGTGAGTTTGGGTTATCTTCCAAATGAGGAGGGGGAGGGAGCACCTGACAGTTGATGTGGGACTTGGGAGTTAGGAGACTTGTGTTGGATCTCTGGTTTTGCCACTGATTTTCTGGGTGTTGGTGGTATGCCTCTTCCCCATTCTGGGCCTTGATTTCCTAGTCTGTGAAGTGAGAGGCTCAGGCTGGAATAAAGATGGCAAATCAGTTGGAGCTCATGAGTTGGTTCTCATCAGCTTAGCTGGAACACTGTCTTCTGGGGTTTAATCTGACCTTGATGGGAAAGAGATAGATTAGTGATGTCTGCTGTGAGTGGAGGATGGGGTGGTAGGAGCCCTAGTTTTTGCAGTCCCTTCCAGCCTAACAGTCTGTTACCCTCTGATGTACTCTTTCCTCTTGAAAGGTTGGGTGGCTATGTTCACCTTGGGGTTTTAGGTGGCCTTTGGCTCTTAAAAAAGTTTCATTATCTAGTTAGACACATGGCTAAAGAGACTGAGGGGCCCAGGGCGGCCTGGCAGAGCCCTGAGACCTGCTGTTGTCAGGATTCAGGAGAGGGTTTGGAGAGTCCTTAGGGTACTAACACTCCAGGGTAGAGGCCAAACATCAAGGGCTGAAGAGAAAACACAAGGTTTATTCCCAGGAAACTCAGAAAATATCTTCTGGCATGGAGTCTTGGGGCAGCAGCCCTCCTCACTGGAAGATAAATCAGAGTGAAGTTTCTCTACTGCTATAGGAGTAGCTGGGAGTCAGCAGGGGCATCTTCAGAGTGAGGTCTCTGCAACCCATCAAGATCATAGGAGGGATTCCTTTCTTGTGGTGCCATGACCTGGGCCAAGAAAGGGACAGTCCTGCAGAAGCACGGGAATTGTTGAAGTAACTTTCCTGAGAAGGATGTAGTTCTTTTGACCATGATTTGGAGCCACCAATATGTGACATGCTGCATTCTGTGTCCTGCCTGCTCCTCACCACTCAGAAGACAGTGTTCTCACCTCCTCCCCTCTCTTGTCCCTGTGATCTGATGACTCAGGGGCTGCGATGCCATAGACTTCCTCCCTCTTAGGGGTCTTGTTCCTTTTATCTCTGGCATGTCCTTTCTGAGCTAGACTGGCTGCCAGAGAAGGAACTAGAGCTCTTATTCTGAGTCCTCTGCTGCAATATGCATTCACAGACAGCTCTCCCAGATGAAAGGACTTTGAGAGATTACCTCAAAGTCCCATTCGTGTTACATGCAGATGAGGAAGCCAAGGCCTAGAGAAGTTCACACAAGGAATCTGTTTACACTGTAATCCCATGTCCTGATTACTCACCCTCTTAGGCTGCCCTATGCAGGACTCCTGGACCAGAGGGTCAGGTCCTAGGACCTTGGGTCCTGTGCTTTGGGTCTGGATCTGGCTGGGCCCTCACAAGCATCCATCAGTTCTCCAGGCCCCCGGATTGATCCCTGGGTGGTTAAAGATGAGAAAGTAGCTCTCAATGGTGCAGAGTCCTGGATGCCAAACCATCTGCTTGTCGGTTCCATTTATTATTCATGAGGAAACATGAGTCCCTGGGTTGGCAGGGTCAGGAATTTTGTCCCTTATTCCCTTCCCTTTCCACCCCCTGGGGGTGGTGCTCTCAAGCTTCCCGGAGGCTGTACCGGGGAAGCACTGTGCTTTTCCAGCTGTGGTCTGGTTGGAGTTTCTGCCGCCCCTTAGATGCTCATACCATTTGTGGGAACCTGGACCAGAGAGGGCTTTCTCATAATAGACACTTTCCTTGCAGTTTTCCCAAAGAGCTCAGAGTGTCAGGGCAGAGCCTGAGCTTGAAGGCTGGGCCTACATCTTTGATTGAGCTCTGGGTTGAAGGGGCATATGGAGCATGTCTGTCTCTTTGGGGAAACAGAAAATCTGAGTTCGAGTCCAGGCCTTGCTATGACTTTGCTGAGCAGGATGGGCAAGTCATTTACTTCTCTGAGCTCAGTTTTTCCACCTACACGCCTTACAGAAATCCTGTAAAGAGTACATTAAACTTACACTGTGGCAGAGACATGGTATCAGATAAGTCCTCTCCTACCTTCCACCAAAAGACAATGCAGTTACCCCCCCCAAAAAAAACCCACACACTGGCACTAGAATTGGAAACTAAAGAGAAGAGATCATCATAGGCCAAAGTCCAGGGGGACTTTCCATTAGCCGCAGGGTTGATGGGAGATGGAGAAATACAATACGGGGCTCTGCACACATCACAGGGTGAGAGAACGGTCCAGACAGCCACAAAGAAGGCACAACAAGGCTTTGACTCATCCCCTCTGTCAGCCTTGCTTTGCCAGACTGGCAGGAGCCATGCTGAACAGGAGACCAGGAGCGGTGCTCAGCTGTCAGGGACTCTTTCTCTTCCGGTCAAGTGGTACCTTTCTTCTCCACCCCCATTTTTCCTCCCTTTTCTGTGTCCCTTTGAAAAGTCAGATTCCCTCAGGGTGCCAGGCCTGAGGGCAGAGGATCAAGCAAAGTGCCCTGTACTCTGGTATGGGCAGTCACCCTGGGAAAAGCACTGTGGGCCCAAGCAGAGCCAGAAAGGTGCTGGGTGCAGAGCATGCTGGAGTGGCTGGCTTTCCTTGGTTCTGCCTGAGCAAAGGATACTGACAGCAGCATTGAACTTTGCAGCCACATTGTAGAGGCCAATAGCTGGAGATCCCACCTCTGTTTAAGACAGAGCCATAGATGCCTGCGGCCCCCTCCCCGAGGCCAGTTCTCAGAGCCCTCTGTCCTGCTCTTCCCTAGCACTTATGGTAACCATTGTTAAATATTTAATTGTATAATTAGTTATTTACTGTCTGTCTCCCTCCTGGACTGGCGGCTTTGGGAGGGCAGGACCAAGTCATCCTGGCTCACTGCTATATTCTTGGCACTCACTATTGGCCTGGAAATTTTAGGGGCTTAAATATTTGTTAAATGCAGCTAATGAGGAGAGTAAATTTATGTATTTTGGAAAGGAATTTGGCAATGTATTCCAAGAGTCGCAAAACATTTGTGCTTTCAGTATCAGGTAGGATGCGTTTGGATGTAACAGAAATCTCTGATTCAAACTGGCTTGAGCTATGGAAAATGTATTATCTCACTTAACTGGAAGACCAGAGTAAGGAAGCCTCCAGGTGTGGCCTGAGGTTCTTCGTGTCTGTGTACTGTGTTGCCTTCAGTATCATTGGCTTCATCCTAGAGATCGACTGTCTCTAGGGGAGGAGTCTTGGGGGAGATGGGGAAAGGATTAGGAAGGAGAGAGCCCCCTACTTCTCTTTTAAGCATGGAACCTAAATCTTCCCACCCTTGAACAAGTAAGAGTTGCCAAGGAGAATGCCATTCATGGATTGTCTTAAACTAATCAGGATTTGCCTCTGAAGCAAGGGGTTGGTGGTAACTGGACAAAACCAGCACTCTGTCTAGAAGCAGGAAGGGTGAGCAGGCGTTGGGAGAGATACCAGCAGTGTCCATGCCCTCTGACTCAGTCACTCCATTTCTAGAAATCAGTTCTAAGGAGATAAGCAGACAAAATCAGTGTTAAAAGGTGAGTATTGCAGTGTTCATCGAAAAGAGGAAAAAAGGCGAGAGAGGAGAGCAACTTGGGCCTGATCTAAGAGGTAACTGTGTTGAAGTAATTAAGTTGATTATGCTACCTCCAGACAGTGGAATAGACAGTGGTATTAAAGCATTTATATGAAGTGTTAATGACATCAGGAAATGTTTAGTTTATAATGTTAGATGAAAAATACCAGAATGTAAAATTGTATTTGCAATATGAGTTCAATTATTTTTAAAAATGCACAGAAAGGAGACGGGAGGAAATAGGTTAAATGCCTACAATGGCCAGTCTTCCAGGCCCTCAGATGGGCTGGCCACCTGCCCATGACCCTGACCCTCAATAGTGCAGCGAGGGGATTTTCCTGCTACTTTGTACTTTTCTGTTCCATCTCCTGCATGCAGGAGGGCTCTACCAGGGTCTGCACGGACTGGAGACAGCTCTATTCTCCTTGTCCTTATAATTTGCTATGAAAATAACAATCACTGGTGCTTGTTGAGTTTTTTCTTTATGACTTTACATGCACTGTCTAATTTAATCCTTACACAGTCCTGTGAGATTCTTTTATTCCTCATTTTGCTGAGGAAGAGAACCCCAAGATGTTTGGTCACAAGGCCACACAGCTAGTATATAGAGGCCTTTGGAATTCATAGCTCAGTCCATCTGATGTCACAGCCTTGGTCCTCAACACCAAACCAGGTTGCCTTCCAGGTTCTTTGTAGCCCTGAGCTAATGAGGATAGTCTCATTTATTGAGCCAGACCCTGTGCATGCCCTACATTTATTTGTTTATACCTTTCAACCTCAGAAAGGCCGAGTGACTTGCCCAAGTGATCTTGTCACACAGATAGGAAGTGGTGGGGCTATGGTAGAGTGACCCAGGATTGATGTGGGATCCTTTTGTCTCCCGCCCACCTTCAGGGCTGCCTGAGGCCCTGCCACCCCCGGGACCATGTTTAACGGGGAACCGGGTCCAGCCTCGTCTGGGGCCTCCAGAAATGTGGTGCGGAGCTCCAGCATCAGCGGTGAAATCTGCGGATCCCAGCAAGCTGGAGGCGGGACTGGGACCACCACTGCCAAGAAGCGTCGGAGCAGCCTGGGCGCCAAGATGGTGGCCATCGTGGGCCTGACTCAGTGGAGCAAGAGCACACTCCAGCTTCCCCAGCCTGGTGAGGGCGCGTGGGACATTGAGGGGCAAGGGTGGGGGACATCTGTAATGACAGTGTACCCAGAGACTATCCTGATGGGTCTGCCTGCCTACACCGACAAACACACTGTAGCACTTCCCATTTACCAGGGGCTGTTCTAGGTCCAATTTGAGTACTGACTCATGTAATCCTCACGGAGCTCTGTGAGCAGATATTGAAGCGAGAGAGGAGGTCAGATGCCCCAAACTACACAGCCAGTCTGATGAACCCTGGATTCGAACCCTAGCAGTTGGGCTTTCTTTATTTTTATTTTTAAAAAATTTTTTAAATTAAATTTTTTAATTTAAACTAAAGTTTTAATTTAAAACTTTCTAGCTGATGCTCTTATCCCTTATACATTAATTAGTAATTACTTATGAAATAGCCTTGTGTTCTGGCACCATGTGACCAGTTTTATAGACACACGCATCTACAAGTTTCCATCTCACTTGTAATCTCCAAGTCCCTCAAGTACAAACAGACACATGAATGCAGTTACACAGTCACATGCATATGTTAAAAAGTCACAAGAGTGACACACAAAGACACATGGATCGCACCATCCCCTGGAGCACTCATTTGCTCAGGTAGGCCACCATTATTGCCAGGGAAGCACAGTATAGACATTCACACTGTACATGATCACGGATAAAACCAATCATGCAAATCACACAAGCAAGATCCTCTGAGCACAGAGGCACAGACCCAGATCACGGAAGCATGTCACATGTGTGTACAGGCATACCTCACGAAACCACATTCACACACACCTTGACAGCTACATCCTGCCCACATGGTCCACATTCTCAGTCACCTCGTTATGGAATCCCAGTTATGTTCGGACTGGTGGGTGATCACCCTGTGACGCACAGTCACATGCAGACCCCACATTACAGAGAAGCCAGCCTTTCCCACCAAGACCTCCGCACTTTGTGGCATCAGCCCAGACACCAGCTGGTTTTGTTTAAAAATCTCTTCCTGCTTATTTTGTTCAGAGTAACAACTTCCCCATAAACCTTCAAATAGGCAGCTGGATGGGGTGGTGAGGGGGCGGGGGCGCCAGAGGATCTGGGGAGAATGCTCACCAAACCTCCCAGTTGGGGCTGGGGGTGGGGGACTTTTCCAGGCCTTAAAATAGATTTTTACCAAGCCCTCGACGGGAGCATGTAGGCTGGTCTTTTCCAGCAGTCAAGCTGTGATGTGGTTTCTGGCTTAAGGAAAAGCTAGATGGCGAAGGGGCTTGAGGTTATTGGTGTACTAGGGTGGGCGTGGCCTCTATGAATATGCAGTATAGGCAGGGTGCTAGGAAGTCAGGGATGGGGATTTGGGGATCCAGGAGTTGGACTGGGACAGGACCAAGGAGTTAAATTAGGGATAGAGGATTAAGATTAGGAGGCCATGGAGCTGTTGGACCCCAGGAGTCTGGCTCCAGGGCACCAAACCCAGACATCTAGCTGATGCAGCTTTAGACTCAAAGCCTTCTTCATGCCCAAAGTGATTTGCAGGGACAGTCTTCCAGGGCCAAGTTGGGGCCTGAGTCTTTGGGAGACATGCCAGTGATCTACCTGGGCTTTAGAGTCAGCAGGCAGGGGTGAGAGCAGACACCAGGAAAACTTCTTACCTTGAGGCAAGATGAAAGCTGATGGGACTTCTGCATCCCTTGTCTCCTTGTCTCCTTGTCTCCTTGGTGTCTGAGGGCAAGGCTGAAGACCTGGTGCCTGGAGCCAGGGGCATTGCCCAGATGCCCTTCTACCTGAAGGTCTCTGTGAGTCATCTAATTGCTGAATGTCAGAGCAGGAAGGGTTCCTTGAGATCATCTAGTCCGATGTACTCATTTTATTGATGAGATGTTCTAGCCTGGGGAGAAAGCATGTTCCTGGAGAACGACCTTAAATTCAGAGTCACACCCTGTCATTTACTAGCAGGATGACTCTGGCAAGTTACTTCACCTTTCTGAGTCTGCTTCTTTGTTTGTAGAATGAGGGCGATAATACATGTCTTGCAGAGTTGTCTGGGGGACTGAATGAGATAGGGTATGCAAAGGCATCCAGCCTCTTGCCTGGCTCAGCGTAGACACTCAGCAAGGTGACGATGCTATTATTATTACCCGTGGTCACACAGTAGGGCCAGAAGAGACACGAGTTCTCTGCCTCCACACCTCTGCCCTTCCCTGTAGCACGTTCTTCTCCCAGCTGTAATTCCTTCTCCTCATTCTCCCCACCCCAAGGCCTTGAGGATGCCAGTGTCCCAGCTTGGAGTCCCCTCGTAAGTAGGAAAGTCTGGTGCCAAAGAAATGTGTGGGGCAGGCTTATCATGAATGTTGGCCCTAGAAACTGTCTGGGACATAAGCTAGAAGGGTGCCCCCTGTGGCCCCCAGATGGGATGGCTTTGTTCCCTGCAGGGCTGGGCTTATGAAGTAATTCCAATCCTGGACTCAGTCTTCTGGGCTCAGGCCTGCCCCTCCCAGGGCCTTCATCCTCCCGGTTTAACCTGCATTGGCTAGAGCCCTGCCCATCCCTCTTTGTTTCAAAGCCTCTGCCCTAGGTAAGGACCCATAATGTCTAGCCTAGACTATTGCATTAGCCTTCTCTCTGGTTCTCCTGGCTGCCCTCTTCCAGTTTATTCCTCATGTTGCCTTAGCATGTTCTTAGAACAACATTTCCTAACACTTCAGAGGGCTCTGTAAGTCCCCATGGGACCTTGGGAAAGTCACTGAGGCTTTGTTTCCCACTGGGCCTCAGTTTCTGCTTTTGTAAAATGGAGCTAAAAATGCTCTCTCCTAGCCTCCTTCTAAACCAAACATTCACTAAATTATGGAAGCAGTGAGGAGGGTGGAGTCAGAGCTTTGAGGTCCAGGACACAGGTGGGTTCTCACCAGGCGGTTGTCTGGGTCCACATGGGACCATACTGGGCTGTGTCAGCCCCTGCCCAAATGGAGCTTGTTTTTCTTGGTACCTGGGACAGCGGCTCTCCCTCCTAGGCTCTGGGCTCTGGGTCAGGGTGGGAGAGGGCTCAGGACCATTTCAGAAGATGCCATGGGGAGCATTGCTGCAGGTTGTGACTGCCCCTCTCTTGTATGTGATGGGATAGATGAGGTGGTTCCTGGAGTCTATTAGTCTCTGGAATCCACAGAATTATTGTAAGCAATTTGACCTGGCTCTGTAAAGAGGGAAGCTACATAAATTTATTCCCCAGTTCAACAGGGGTTGAGGCTGGACATGTATGAAGCCAGTAGAGGGATATTCTCTGAGATTGCAAGAATTTTCTTCTTCCTCTGAAGATATGGAACTTAAGCTCTGCTGAATCACTTTTTTTTTGAGTTGGAGTCTCACTCTGTTGTCCAGACTGGAGTGTAGTGGCCGCTCCTGGCCACCGCAGCCTCGACCTGCTGGGCTCCGGCGATCCTTCCGCCTCAGCCTTCCAAGTAGCCGGAATTACAGGCATGCGCCACCACGCCCGGCTGTTTTTTTATTGATTGTAGAGATGAGGTCTCGCTGCCCAGGCGGGTCTCTAACCCGCGGGCTCAGGCAATCCACCCACCTCAGCCTCCCAAAGGCGCGGGATTACAGGCTGAGCCACCGAGCCCAGCCTGAATCACTTCTTATATGGACGGGGAATTGGGAGGGAAATAAAAAGTCACATGTCAGTAGACTGGGAGTCTTTGGGCCTTGGGGCCTAGTCTCAGCTCTCCTGGTACCTGGACCTCAAGACCTCATCTGTGAAATGGTTTCAGGATTCTGTCACTCTCTCACTCAGGGACTCACATTGGGTTGGACAAGTCTTATCTAAAAAGGCAAATCTGCTCCCAAATGGGTTAAAGCTTCCCCAGGCACTAAGAGAGGAGGGTTGGGGTCATGAGGTGGTGAGCTTTGCTTTGGCTTAGGGTGTGTTTTGGGTGTTGGGAGAGATTATGACAGGGAGGGTGGTGACTCACAGCCCCACAGATCCACCTGTCTTCTAACTGGGTTACAGAGGATTTGGCAGTTAGGGAGCAAGGGCAGAAAGAGTCTCCTCCACCTCCACCATCATTACCCATGCCCTGTGTGTGTGTGGTGGGTCACACACCACTTGTGGGTTTGCACTGATGCACGTGACTGATTAGACGGGTTCAACTCCACATGTTGTGGTGTGAAGATCACAAGTACGTGACTTGACTCTGAGACAGAGTACATCATATGTACATGTGACTAAGGCCTGGCATGGCCATTTGTGACTGTGTGATTGTTGTATGAACACACACGTGGCTTTGCACATGAGCTTACTATATTATAGATGTGATTGTTGGCACTCGTGCATGTCTGATTATGCCTGTCTGTGTGAAAGAAATAAGTATAAGCTCATATGACTCTGTGTGTCTGTGACAGACATTTGATGGTCTCATTGATTTTTGGATATGCTAGCTATTTCAATATCCCAGAAACTGGAACAATTTCAGAGAAGACATGCCTCTTCAGCCCCCCACCCTGTTCTCAGCCCACCCTTCCCCCACCATCCCATTCACCAGTGATCCTAGCCTTCTCGGCCTTCCTTCCCCCAATGGTGACTTCCTGAAAGATAAGTAGGGCAAAGCAGGAGGAATACAGTCCTCCTTTTCCCAAGCTGGGGGCTTGACTATTCCCTCCCCGACCCACCATTGGATACTGCAAGAGAGAGAATTGCCAGGGTAATCAGCTCCCGGCTCTCCACTGCTTTCAGGGCTGTGTTGCCTGCCCTGCCCTGGCCTCTCTGCATCCCTGTCGGCAACTCCACTCTTAATCTGCTTGGTCTGTAACCAGTGACAGCAAATGGCTCCTTTGGTGCAGTGCCTATCTGAGTGCCACTTCCCTCCACATTATGCTCCTCTGGCAGCCAAGCTTCAGTGGGGGAAGACCTGTAAACCCTCAACCCGTCTGTCTCCCACCACACTCCCACAAGAGGAGAGGGTGTCTAGAGGGACCACACTGCAATGCTGAGGAGGTTGCCATGGAAACCCAGGCAGGATGGTACACTGCTAGGAGAGGGAGAGTGCCCTGTTCTCTGCAAGGCTGAGGAACGGGCTGGGATCTGGGGGTGGAGGGCCTCTGAACAGGAGGCTCAGAGAAACAGGTGGGCCCTCACGGCATAGCTTCTGCAGCCCTTTCTCTCAAGGCCAAAGGCAATCCAGGTCAACCTAGCAGTCACTCTCTGTCTTGCTTCCGAAATGGTATTTCCAGCGCTCCATGCACATCTGTCCCCACGTTCAGCCCCACTGGAGAAGGCAAGTGTGTCTGAGAGTGGCCCGACTTCCCATGGGTTTTTACAGGGCCTGTGAAGGTATCAGAGAGGTGCGGTGTGGGGTCTGGATGAGACAGGGTCCATGAGGCTGCCTGGAAGAAGTCTGGGAATCCCAGAGAAGCCAAAATTTCCTCAAGAGGGAGGAAGAACACAACCTTCGGGGCAGAGGCTGAAATCAAGCGGGAAGGTGGGTGTCAGGAGAGCCTGAGGATGGTGAGGTGAGGGCCCCAGCTACAGGGCTGGTCTCAGCCTGGTGGCCCCCTTGTCCCCAACTCAGCCATCCTGGCTCTGCCTCCAGCCATCCTTCTAGTCTGCTTTGTGGTCCTCCGCCCTGAACCAAGCCAAGTGTCAGGCTGCAGACCATCTTGCCCCTCCCAAGAGAGTGACTGTGGCAGAGAAGCCTCATCCGCGATCTGACCTTGTTCCCTTTCTGTGCTTGGGGCGGGGGTCCCAGAAGGGGCCACCAAGAAGCTGCGCAGCAACATCCGCCGGAGCACGGAGACGGGCATCGCTGTGGAGATGCGGAGTCGGGTCGTGCGCCAGGGCAGCCGGGAGTCCACTGACGGGAGCACCAACAGCAACAGCTCCGACGGCACGTGCGTGTGCCCCGCCCTCCTCCTGGGTCATCCAGTCACAGAGCCAGGGGGCAGGGTGGGGAAATCCCGCTTGGTTTCCAGCTGAGATGTCGGGTCCCCTGTGTCTCCGCCTCCCTCCACGCTCCGCCCCTAGACATTCCGTGCCTGGGCCCCTGGGTCCTCCTATTGCTTCCGTCGGAATACCCTGGAGACCCAGGACAGGTGATTCCTTGTATATTCAGTTTCAGGAAGGGACCCCTACCTTCCACCTCTCCACCACCTGCACACTTCCCTGTTTCAGACGGGAGTGCAGAAAGGAACATGTGATCCTAAAATCCTTTTTAAATCTAAAACCATTGTCGTGGCTCAGATGAGTGGAGTTCTCACTAGTAGCCTTACCTGTAGCTTAGGGAGGAGCTTGGACTAGATCGGTGTTTTTCAAACTCTGAATGGTGACTCACAAGAAGTAAAATCGGTTTAGTGGGTCAAAACCAGCATTGGAAAAAAGAAATAGAAAACTCAGGTATAGCCTGTGAAGTCAGCATAAGTTGCTTTGTGGACTTTTGTTTCCGTTTGTCTATCCTGGGTCATGGTATTAAAACTTTTTGTCACGTGTGGGTTGTAGTAAAAAATGTGGAAGTCACTAGGTTAGCTATTCCCCTAGATCTCTTCTAAATCTGTGGAGCTATAGTTGTATGACTAAGATTTTCTACTTCGGCTTCAACAAGGCCGAGTGATTTCCAGCCTGAGTATTCCGTTTTCCCTTAAGACTCAGCGATCACATGGTGTACCTACTTCCACGAATGCGAGTACTCTCTGGCATTTATTATTCCTTACCACGTGCAGAGCATTGCTGGGTACCTCAGCTCAGTGATTCTTCGGCGGCTGTGACCCGACCAGAAACAGTGATCATTTAACACTTACAGCAACCCTGAGGGATGTGGACACTACCATGATCTCCGTTTTACAAATGCAGAGACTGAGGGACTGGAGAAGGGTGAGGCACCTTACCCAAGGTCACAAGTGGTGGTGGAGTCAGGACTGGAATTCAGGCCATTTGACTCCATAACTTTGTTCACAATCTCCAGACTGTCTATGCCAAGCTCCCAAAATTCTGTAACCTTGAGAGTCTAAGTTTCTTTATTTAGCTTTCTCAGATTTCATTGTCCTAAGAATGTGATATCAAGCGAGTATTGACCATGGTCAATAAAAGTGGGCGGGCCTTGTAGCCCCGTCCTGAGAAGTGGAGGCTGAGTCTAGCAGGGCAGAGTATAGGCTCTTTCCAACACACACACAGCCTGCTCTTCCCTCCCTGCTCAGGGGACTCAGGGCCAAACTGTCCAGTAAGGCGTTTTTTCTTGGAGTCTTTTTTCTCTCTAGCCAGGTCCATTTGGGAAGATCCTGGAGCTTTGTTTCATCCTAGCCCCTGAGCAGACCCGAGCCAACCAACCCTCCCTCATCTGTCCTTTCTCTGCTGGCCAAGCCCAGAGTAGCTAGACTTGAGAACATGAAAAAGCAGCACTTTTCCCTTGATGCTAACAGCAGTAGTGGCAACAACTATCATTTTGTGTTTTCTGTTTGTCTGGAACTTTTCCTGCACCATCTGCCCTAATCCTCACCATAACCCTATGAACTGGGCATCGTCTGTCTTGTAGGCAAGACAGGTCACTTATCTCTGGGAGCCTCTGTTTTCTCGTCTGTAAAATTGAAGAATGGCTCCTACCTCAGAGTGGTTGTAAGGATTAAATGACAGAAGGCACATGGAACGTTTAGTGCACTGTTGGCACCTGGCTAGCTGTCAATCACTGTCAGTTTTCCTTGTTACTATTTCCACACACACCCTACAGTCATGGGCCACACACCATCACTTGCCATTCATCTCAACCCTGTCGTCGTGTTATTTTGGTCTCAGTTGCTGTTTTGGGCACCACTTTGTGTTTGACTTGGAATTCAAATTTATGATCAGCTCAAACCTCAGTTCTCAGAACTTGCTGAAGGCATTGGAATTTCTGCCTGTGTCTCTAGTTCTTGGCATTGACAGCCCCTGGTGAGGACACAGGTGTCCAGTGAGTCCTGCTTCATAAGAGTCAACTCAGAAATCCCTGGGCTTGAGGATTAAATGCCGTCGTGTTATTGTTATTCGTCTCTTTGGTCAAGTGACATCGAAGTATTTTTCTCTCATGTGCAAGAATGAACAGTTCTGTTTGTCTCCAGCCAGAGTAGCATGCACACACTGTGTAGAGGTGAAATTGAGGCACAGAGTGGAGCGCCCAGTGCCCCCAGGGCAGAGCGCTGAAGCCCGCCAGCCATACCCCCGCCCCAGGCTGCCTTGGCACCCTCATGAGCCCCTCTGCCTCCTTCTGCAGGTTCATCTTCCCCACCACCCGGCTGGGGGCCGAAAGCCAGTTCAGTGATTTCCTGGATGGGCTAGGACCAGCCCAGATTGTGGGACGACAGACGCTGGCTACACCACCCATGGGTGAGTCTTCTGGGGGGCAGGGCGAGTGGGGTAAGGTGGCCACATGGCAGGAAGGGTGAGCTCACTGGAGGCCCTGCACTAGCTATCAGAGTTTATTCTATCACCAATTCTCTGTGAGAATTCTAAACAAGTCACTTCCTTTCTTTGGGCCTTAATTTCCTTATCTATGAAGTGGGAATAACATACCCACTTTAGTTATACAATCTAGCAGCACTTTATTGAACTGTTAGATGCTTTGCATGAAGTAGTTCAGTTTACCCCTCAGGAGTTGTGGCTTATTTGACTTGTTAGTCCTAACAGTGCTTGTAACCTGGAGGCCTTTTAGTAGTTTTCTCCCCCCTCTTCCTGGCAGCTAGCAAGTACAGTTGGGTCCCTGTGTCCATGGGTTCCACATCCATGGATTCAGCCAACCTTGGATTAAAAAATATTCGGGGGGAAAATATTCTGCCAAGTTCCATGGGTTGTCCAACCCATGTTGAACAAAACTTGAATTTGCTATGTGCAAAGTACTAAGTTGAAGTCATGTGAATGAAGTGGTGTGTAGGCATTGAATGAGGAATTATTAAGTACAGTCGTGCTTTGCTTAACGGTAGGGATATGCTTTGAGAAATGAGTTGTTAGGTGATTTTGTTGCTGTGTGAACATCACAGAACTTACACCAACCCAGATGGTATATATACTTTTGTCATATGAAAAACAAAATGCCCAGTGGCTCAGCCTGTAATCCCACGCCTTTGGGAGGCTGAGGTGAGTGGATTGCCTGACCCTGCGGGTTCGAGACCTGCCTGGGCAACTTGGCAAGACCTCATCTCTACAATAAATCAAAAAAATTAGCTGGGCGTGGCAGCGCGCACCTACTTGGAAGGCTGAGGCAGAAGGATCGCCGGAGTCCAGCAGGTCGAGGCTGTGGTCTGGGCGACAGAGTGAGACTCCAACTCAAAAAAGAAAAACAAAATGTCCCAGCACCATTACTGCATATCAATCATTTCTTTCTCCTCCTTGATCTACAGTGCCAATATCGTGTACCCCGTATATTAGGTTTTTATATATGCTCTGTTATAATCTTATGGGACCACCATCATATAGGTGAACGACCAAAATGTCGTTGTGTGGCATATTACTGTAATCTAGAGAGGATTTAAAGTATGTAGGAGGAAGAGTCAGGCATGGTAATGCATGCCTGCAATCCCAGCTTCTCAGGAGGCTGATACGGGAGAATTCCTTGAGCCCAAGGGTTCGAGATCAGCCTGAGCAACATAGCAAGACCCATCTCAATAAATAAATAAAGTATATGCGAGGAAGTACATAGGTTATATGGAGATGTTATACTATTTTATATAAAGGACTTGAGCATTTGTTGATTTTTGGTATCCATGGTGAGGTGGGTCCTGGAACCAATCTCCCATGAATACTAAAAGATGCCTGTGCTTCCTGAAGTCTACACTTGGTCCTCTTAACTGCAGTCTGGCTCATTTCATGAGCTGTCAGGCTAGCCCGCCCTCCTTTAGGTATTTGCTGTGTTGGCTTCAAGCAGCTCCTCCCCAAGCTAACTTCCCCAGAGGTACCTCCTCACCTTTGCCCCCTTCCCCATCAGTCTGACCTGAACAGTGTCTGCCCCAGATGTCCCCACTCAGCCCTCATCTGGACAGTGCTTGATCTTTAACCCTCACAGCAAGTGAGGAAGCCAAGCGCAGACAACACCCTGCTATGCAGTGGAGCTGGGTTCCATTCCAGGTCAGAACTCTTTCCACTGCACTGCTCTCAAAAGCCCTACACAGGAGCCCTGTGAAGAGGGATCCACAGGGACTCGAAGAGGGTGAGGGTTAGCTCTCATCTGGGCCTTGAACTGGATTTGGCTAAATCCCAGCTCTTGCTTTTGGACTCTGATGGGTCTGGGGTGCCTGCTTGTCCCAGCCCCAAACAGGCTGGGAGGCAGTAAGCGAAGCCAGCTACTTCCACAGGGCTGATGCGTTAGGGCGGCCTAGAACATTTGTGTGTAGTGCCCCCTAGTGTCCAAACCTGGAAAAGACAGGGTTGCTTTTGCTGACCTTGTTAATGATTACAAGTGAGTCATGGAGATTTATTCCTTTCACCCTCCATTTCCCCCTCTCCCTTGAGGAGGTCAGGAATAGCTGCACAGAGGGGAATCAATTCCGGGATATCTCCTGAAAGTACTAAATCCCTATCTTCTCTAGTATGCAAACACAACAGCTTACAAGATGGCTCAGAGAATTTAAAATGGGTGGCCAAACCCAAAGTCTGGCCCACTTAATTTTTCTGGATCAGGCTTATGATTCTGCATCTCTTTGAAGGCCCTTGCTTTATTCTGAGTGACTACTGCATCATTCTAAATTCTACCAACCCATGTTGAACAAAGCTAAGAGTTTCTAGAGATCAAGTAACTGACATGACTCCACACACAGAACTTGCTCCATCTAGATAATCCGGGAGCACAGTGAGGAATTCTCAGCCCTCTGCATCCAGGAAGGCTGCTGGCCTTCCCTCCCTCCATAGCAGTGTAGGAAAAGGCCCTGATTGTCAGGTAGTGCCACATCTTCTGGTAAGCTCGTTGCTCAGCATTGCTTCAAACTGGCATTCTTTCGATATTTACTCAACATGTATACAGGGGAAGCTGAAGAAGAGCTACTGAGCCCATAGCCTCCCATCTTCCTGTACCAGGAAGCTCCATGCCCCAACTTGCTTACTATTCTGCCCAGGGAAACAGAAGCCTCCCAGGTATCCAGCTCCCAGGTATCCAGACTTAGATGGGAGTTTAGCAGCCATTTGTTGTTACCCAGGTATGCTCCTTAAAGGTCATGCCCCTATTCTTCCCTAAGGGACCTATCAAAGCCTCTCTCAGCCACTTTAAAGTGGTCCCCTGAGAGCAGTTCTGGCACATGTGGTTGGCTCCATCTTGTTCTCTCTCCAGTGATGATGTAGCATCCTCCACAGACTGGCATTCAGAACTGCAGCTGGTTGCCTGGCCCCTTGGGCTGGCTCTGCCTGGACTCACCCTCTTCTCTCTTGCAGGAGATGTGCACATCGCTATCATGGACCGGAGTGGCCAGTTGGAGGTGGAAGTGATTGAAGCACGGGGTCTGACCCCTAAACCAGGCTCCAAATCCCTCCCAGGTGATGGATTTTGGAAATGGGAGTCCTGGCAAGGAGGGGCATATAGCTGAGTTCTGGGTCTAGCAAGTCTTCGGCTTCCTGTTGGCCTAAGTCAGTCTTCCTGAGAGTGGAGTCACAGCTTGCCTGGAAGGCCAATGACTAGGGCAGGGAGCAGGGAGGAGGAGTCAGTGCTAGAATCGCCTCCACCACCTGCTGTCATGTTACACCTCCAGGATCATCTGGCACTTAGGGGATGGGGCAGGCCATAGCAGTCCCTCCTGAACCCCCCCATCATGCTTTCTCCCATCCCTCAGCCACCTATATCAAGGTTTACCTGCTCGAGAATGGGGCCTGCTTGGCCAAGAAGAAGACAAAGGTGGCCAAGAAGACCTGTGATCCCCTGTACCAGCAGGCTCTGCTGTTTGACGAGGGGCCCCAGGGCAAGGTGCTGCAGGTGAGTGTCCCAGGGCGAGTGGGGCAAAGTGGACTCTCAAAGCCTGGCAGTTGTAATTTCAGGTTTTTTACTCATGATTTATCCTGTGCCAAGCACTGTGCCAGGTGTATTAATTTGCATTTCCTCATTATTTTCACAACACAGTGAGGTGTTATTGCCCCCAGGTGATTCATAAGGGAACCAAGATCCAGGGGATAACTAAGGTTCTGGGCCATCCCACTTCTCACCTGGGGCTGTTCCTCTGGCCTGAGGTGGTTCTGTGGTAAGGGCTCTTTGAGTCACAAACCTAAAGAACTTCAGAACCCTAGGGTTTGGGGGGCAGGGGGCATCGTCTTAGGTGTCTGGTAAAAAAAAGGATTCACCAATAAAAACACAAGTCTAGGCCAGGCTCGGTGACTCAGCCTGTAATCCCAGCACTTTGGGAGGCCTAGGCAAGTGGATTGCTTAAGCCTGTGGTTTTGAGACTAGCCCAGGCAACTTGTCTCTACAATAAATCAAAAATTAGCTGGGCGTGGTAGTGCGCACCTGTAGTCCTGGCTACTTGGAAGACTGAGGCAGAAGGATCACCAGAGCCCAGCAGGTCGGCGCTGGGGTGGCTGTGAGTGTGCCACTGCACTCCAGCCTGGGTGAGGGAGTGAGACTCCAACTCAGAAAAAAAAAGAAAAAAGAAAAAGAAAACACAAGTCTGAAAATCACTGAGCTAATCTATTCCCCCCTCCCAACACTGTGGGTAGGAACACTGAAGTCCGTTGAGGACAAGGGACTTACACAAGCCCTGCAGTGAGCTGGAGATTTGGCCAGGTCCTGGGTTCTCCAGCTGCCCCTTCCTGGGAACAGCTGTCATCTGGAATGTTGGGAAGCTGTGAAGTCACACACCCAGGTTGTAACCTCAGCTTTGCCGAAGATTACTGTGTATCTTTGTGTTAGTTAATTAACTGTCTGAGCTGTAGTTTCCTCTTAGTGGTAATAATAATACACAGCACCCCTATCTACATGGCTTGTCATGACTCATGACAATTGAAACAATAGATGCAGAGTCCATAGGATCAAGTCTGGCACATCTTAAGTGCTCAGGAAGTTGTCCTAAATCAGTCCAAGTTCTGGCCCTCTGTGTCCCATCTGTGCCCTGGTGAAGCTTGGAGGTTCCTGGCCCACTGCCCAGTGCTGGAGCCAGGGACGGCCCAGTTCCTCCCTCTCTTCCTCCTGGCAGGTGATCGTCTGGGGAGACTACGGCCGCATGGACCACAAGTGCTTCATGGGCATGGCCCAGATCATGCTGGACGAGCTGGACCTGAGTGCCGCGGTCACTGGCTGGTACAAACTCTTCCCCACCTCCTCAGTGGCAGACTCCACGCTGGGATCCCTCACCAGGCGCCTGTCCCAGTCCTCCCTGGAGAGTGCCACCAGTCCTTCGTGCTCTTAAAGACATCAGAAGAGAGGCCAGGATGGCGGTGTGGGAAGGGGTGCCCGCTGGCCCCCCACCTCTCCCCTGTACATAGTCTTCGTGTCTTTCTGGACCCCTTGTGCTGCTGCATGCCTGTTGGCTACTGGGCTCATCCCAGCTGGCAGTGGAGACTGTAGTGTGTGTGTGTGTGTGTGTGTGTGCGCGCGCGCGCGTGTGTGTGTGCGCGAGCATGTGTGTGTGTATCTGTGTATGTGTGTGACCACATTCTATCTGTTCATTTGTCTGGGTACGGTCAGTCCTGGTGACTACATGGGTCGAACTGTCTCCATGTCTCTTTGTATCTTGTTGAAAAGAAACCCAAAGGAGTGTTGTGTAGATACGAGTCACCCTGAGGAGTCTTTAAGGGTAGAAGTGGAGGATGTAACCACTGGTCGGTCCTGCCTGGTCTGCGGCTGTGGACAGAGCCGGTGTGTTCCCTGCCAGTGTGTCTGCTCCTGGGGGTCTCTACTGTTTTCTGTCTTGTCTTTCGTTCCGCCCTTGCCTCTCCTAGCACTGCCGCTGTTTTCTGAGGAATGTAGCATCCGTTGCAGTGGGGCACACTGAGGCCTCTCTGGGAACCCCACCCACCCCCACTGACACCCTTCCCCCACTCCAACCACTCTGGCAGCTCTTCCTGCCACTGAACACATTCTGCAGCATGTAGCATGCCCATCTAGTGCCCTGGCCAGGGCCGGGGGAGGCAGAGGATGCCCAGGTGGTGGAGGGCTTGAGGTTGCTTCCTCTGTGGGGCTGGAGCCACCTCCTTCCTACCACGAGGCATGGGTGGTCTTGGTTCCAGGGTTGCTGGCCAGGTGCCCCTTAGCATTTGTTCTTCATCTCTGTTATCTCTTCAAGCCTCCTCCCTGACACGCCAAAACAGCTCTCCCAGCAGGACTAGGAGCTCAGCCTCAGAAAGGATGTTCTCTGCCAAAGCCAACAGTTCTTCCTAGGCCCTGAGGGTGGCTCTGTCCCCTCCGGGCTCTTTCCTAGTACGGCATGACTTGGTAAGGAGGTGCGGAGGGTACGGCTGTTTGCTGGAGCAAGGAGGGCTGAGGCTGACATGTTCCGAGCCACTGTGGAGAATCCTGTCTGACCTGTGGGGATTAGCTGCATGCGGTTGTTCATTTGGGACTCTGTTGTTTGCTCATTTCCAGACCAGGGTCCCTGTCTGGGAACTCAGACTCACCTAGGCTCCAACCCCCTGGCTCCATGAGTAGCCTGGCTCTAGACTCTAGCCTGTCTCCGTCACCAGCTCTGTATAAGCAATACTTCCCCCTCTGGGCCTCCCTGCCTCCTTGACTCCACTGCTGCCCTCTGGAGAGCAGCCTGCTCTAGGCCCCTCCCCTGCGTCTGCTTTCTTTTCCACCTTTGTCTGGTTGGAGCTTCTCACAGCCACTCAAACCCTGACTTGATTTGACAACTGGGCCCTGTTGGTGGGGACCAGTGCCTGGGCTGGACCCTGTGAAATTTGTCTGCTGGGAATCTTGAAGTCTGGCTCAGGAGTGCCCCAATCTGTCCCTCTCCCTCCTCAACTCTAGGGTGAAAGGTGAGAGGTTGCCCAGGAGATGGACAGAGCAGCCCTTGGGTCTGGAGGGGTGGAAAGAGATAGTAAGAAGGGTTGAGGTGTGGGGAAGGCTCTCTTTCTATCTCTTCCCTAGACACCATCCCCCTGTGCTGGAATGACTGTGGTTCAAGCTCCTGCAGCAGGCGAATGCTACCCAGGGTAGCGGTGGAGAGGCCTCCGGGCCTGCGTGCTCAGCCTCCGTTCAAACCAAAGCTGGTGAGGATAGGCCATCTCAGCCCCAGGGGCCTCCTTTTCTGGTAGTATTCTGTGTTGGGCTGAAGCCATGGTCCTATAACCTCGCTCCCAAGCAAACTAAGGGAAGAAGCCAAGATCCCGTCTGTCCTGCCTGCAGGACAAGAAGTGCGTAAGGCCAGGAAGGAAAGTGAACAGAGTTAGCTTCTTGGACTCCTGCCTCCTGCCGGAGGCCCCGTCCTTATTTTATCGGAAGAGAACCAGCATGGGCACAGAGGAGTGAGAGGAGGCAGCAGTGGGGCTAAGTTCTCTCTTTGGGCAGAAATGCCTCATTGCTAGGACTGGGTAGTGCATGCATTTCTCAAGCTCCTAGAAATGGGGCCAAGGACTCTGTCCTTCTCGACCCTAGTGGGAGGGCAGGGAGGAAACTCTCTTGCATAGGGGCATTTTAATCTCCTGTTTGTGATGTATTCACTGTGGAGCAGCTGCTCTCGGGATGGTATGAAAATACCCTTCACCTTTGCAGTGATGGGGTCATTAGTGATCCACAGGATGGTATAGACATTTGCTGATGCAGCACCCAGTAGTGATACCCAGACCATGCAGTCACCCCCAGGGAATGGGGGCTCAAACACCCTCATTCCTTTAGGGGTCCAGGAAAGTGGGGAGCTGCCAGCAGAGAGACCGCCACTGGGTGGCTCTAGGGCATGGTGCCCCTCGCCTCAGGGGAGGGTCTGCACAGTGGAATTTCTAGCCAGAGGAGGGGCCTGATATGCTGGTAACTTGGGCTGACCTACCTGCAGTCCCTGGCTGTCGAAACTGCCCAAAAGTTGGGCTACCCCACTGGTCCAGCTCTCTATTAAAAGTGAATTCCCACCCCCTCAAACTGACCCTGGGGAATTATTCATTTTAACCCTCTGCACCAAATATATTACTAATTCCTGCCTGAATTTTACCCCATGAGGGTAAAGTTGTGTGAGGCTGGTGTGTATACAAGATGGGGAATGGCTGGATCTGTTTCTCAGCATCCTGGATGTAGAGGCTTGTCTGAGAATTCACCCTGGAGCTGGCCTGTCCCGGAAGAGGGGGTGCACAAGTGTGACTCCCGGCTTTCCTTGGGGAAGGGAAGCATCTGCCCTTTGAGGGGGTGCATGGTGGGGAAGAAAGGAACATGATCCCTCCTGAGTTTTCCCTACCCTGGGGCCAACTCACTGCCAGGTTCAGTGTCCTGGCTCCAGTGCCTCCTTGCCCCAGACAAAACCCTGCAGTGGTTACAAGATGGGGCTCTTTGTCATCCATCTCCTCTGGTCAGGCTGGGTTTATGGCAGAGATGTGGCAGAGACTGGAATGGCCCTGCAGTGATACTGGGCTGTGGGCAGGGATGGTGTGGATGACTTAGAGTGTCTGTCTTCATATTTCTGCTCTGTTCATTCTGCCCCACTTTCTTCAAAGACTCCTTTTGCCTACAGTGGGCCTTTTGTATGAAGCAGGCTCCAGTAAACGGAGCCAAGTCTTGGTTTGACAAGGGGAATTTGATTTTTCAGGGAAGAACCATCTCTAAAACAACTCCCCCTCCAGTCTCTTCCACCATATTCTACTAGAAAAGGAACACTTAGGAGGTTCTTGGGATCCAGCAAGTCCCAGGCAATGCCAGCATTTCATGGGGTTGAGGCAGAACCCAGGAGCTCATTCCCTGTGGAATCACTGCCAGTTAGAGCGTTGAGGTCAAGCTTGTCCTCCCAGGGGCGTGCCGCCCGCCAGGGAAACGTGCGTGATCTCTTCTTTACTGCCAGCCTTGAGGAGAGCAGAAGCCTCTGTTTTTAAAGACAATAACGACTTCCTTCTTTGGAAATGAAATGTAGCACAATCTTAGCATGCATTATCAGGAGCCCTGACACGCAAGCAGGGTCCTCCCGCCATGCTTCGCCACCCAAGAGATGCCCAGGGGGATCAATCCTCTTCCCCTGGGATTCCAGAGTTCCTGATACCTCACATTCCCCATCTTCCTTGGTCCAACAAGCAACAGGGCTTTGGTGAGACTGCTCTTCTGTTTCTCTGATTGCTTCTAGCACTGTGCAAGCTCTGTGCCAGAAATTGCTGCCTTGATGTTGTAGATGAGTTGCTCTCCACCTGGTGGAGAGATGGCACATCATTCAGGTCCAGAAGGTGGTCCAGTAGTGTTTCTGCAGAAATAGAAAAGGAGAGGCCTGCTTCCCTCCTCAGAATTTTCTTCTCCAATATCCTGACATGTAAAGAGGTTCTCTCAAATGCTGATTCCTCTGCTGGATTATCTTTCACTGAGGGGTCTGGGAGATGTAAATGTGGACACATCCCCTGCCTTCTCCCTCAAGTCTGCTTTTCATTCAGGTCAGAAGAGGTTGGGGCAAAACAAAACAAGCATGATTGAAGAGCAGGGGAGCCCCACAACAATCAGGTGAGGCCTGATGGGGGCTGGATTGGCCTGGTCTGACTGGGAAAGGGTTATTTTGAAAGAGTGCCTGAGCATCTCAGAGCAATGTCAGTGATGCCAAAGAGAGCAACTTGGCCTCCTTGGGCGCCAATTCTGCCAGCTGAACTGCACAAATGTGACTCAGATGTTGGCTTGCCCGACGGCGGGACCTTGTTCTCTGACAAAGGGCTTAATCTTTCCATGTAGCAAAGCAACTCCCCATCCCCAACCCTCAGCTTGGGCTTTTGTGGGCCCAGTATGGCTGTGCCTGTGAGGGCAGCTGCATCGGAAAGAGAAACTTGCGTTCTCTCAGGGGCCTAGACTGGCTTGGGGCAGGTGCTTGTTGAAAAGCATGAGTGTTTCTGCCTTGGGAAAACCTCCCAGGGCTCTGGCTAGAACCTCGGCCAGTAAGGACAGGGCCTTGGGCTTCCCAAGGCATTCACACTGATGCAGGAAAGGGCCTTGGGCCTGGGTTCCCAACAGCTTGACTAACCAGTGGGCTTGGGGATTCTAGGGACAACTAAGCGCCTACCCCATTAGCCGATTATGGGGACAGCTGGCTACAGGGAATCATAGGCTATTCTATACAGTTTTGCCAGAAACTGTGACCTTGTGCAAGACTCCTCACTTCTCTGGGCCTCAGCTTCCTCATCTCAAAAATCAGACCATTAACTAGTTTCTCCATGGTTCCCTCCAGGTTTTAGGAGTCTCTGATCTGGAGCTCATGAAGGTTGCAAGCCTGGTGCACCTGGCACCTGATTCCATGGGCTGGTTTCTTGCAGCCCCTGGTGCCCAAGCTGGGTGCAGGTCCTCATCTGGCCCATGCCCAGATGCTGCTTCTGATAAGAACTCTGGGAATCTTAACAGACTCTGCTATCCTCTCTTCGTGGTTTGTCCTCCCTCTTTTATTCTTGTGTGATGATGAGACATAATTAAGGGTTGTCTACAATGGACAATTTTCAAGGTGCTGACATGATGTCACAACCTTAACTGCATCCTGAATAAGTCAGTGTCCCCACCAGCAGATGAGGCTGGGTCGTTCCTCATTTCTGCTTTCTAGGATGACATCAGTGGGAAAGTTGAAGGTCTAAGAATTTCATAGGAAAAGCTCTCCGATGGGAGGAGAAAGGGAGCTTATTTCCCTTTAAAGTATTTTGCTTCTTAAAACCACTCCTCCCTCCAGAATGTCTTTTGCCAGACATCATCTCAGAAGCAGAGTGGCTGATTCCTTAGGGAAAGCCATCCCAGCAGCTCGACCAACTCCCTTAGCATGTAAACTCACAGAAGGCAGGAACCCCTTTTTTAGACTCACCAAATGCATCCTGCAAAGAGAGAAATAGCTGATAGGGACTGACAAGCACACTGTTTAGATAAGCAATTAGCCTTTTATATCTGTGCTCTATACATTTTCTATGTGCAGCATCTTTCCAAACTTGTTGTGATTCCCTGGTGGCAGGTGCACAGCTGGAAGGGACTGCCAGCTGTTTCGTACAACGTTCTTGCCAATTCCCTTGAGGAGAAAATTCTTCACACGGCTTCTGCATGTACAGTATTTGGGCAGCAAAACATGATTAAAGTCAGTTTGAAAATGGTCTCGTGTTGCTTTCTGTAGACAGTTCTTCACTCTAGGAGAGACAAGACAGGGTTCCAAAAAAAGAAGACGGATGATACTTTCGTTGAGAGGCAGAACAGAGCAGTACCTCTCAGAAAGAACAATGAAAGATATGACCTGGGCCTCTGACTCCTGTTTGGGGAACTCTGTTGCCATAGCAATGTCCTTAGACCATGGACTCTGGTCCAGGCAGCTTCCTGGCTCTGTCTCCCAGAGTCCCTGCTAATAGGCCCTCAAAGCCTTCTATTCCCACAGACTCCACAAGGGATGCCCAGATAGAGGTGAAGTTAAGATGGAGCTCAGACTACTGCTTTCGACCCACAATTTCATTTTTTTCTGGGCTCTTGGGTCCAGGAACTCTGCTCAGGCATATGACTGAGTCAGGCTTGCTTATTTCAGCCACATCAGGTACAAGCAGCAAACATAGCAGTTGACCTCTAGTGCTGTGAACTACATCAGTTATTGACTCCCAGGGCACCCCTTCCCCTCTCGCTTCATGGAGGGTCAGAAAAGTATGTTAAAATTTAGTCACTTCTGGGCAGAGCCATCATCCTAGGGGGAACAGAAGATGGAAAAAGGAAGTATAACATTGTCATGCTCTTGAGGGAAGGCTCATGAGGTCAATAGAGGAGTTCTGGTGCTCCCCAGGAGTCTGTCTTTTGCTTCTTTCACTTCTCTTTCCCTGAGACATGGCATCTACTCTTATGATTTTAAGAACCTCCATGCTTCTATCCAGCAAAATTCTTTCCAAAAATAACAACCAAAAAAAAAGCCCCCAAAACAAGACAAAGGCAGACAACAAAAATTGAGATCCAAAGAATGAAATTCTCGATGATGCTCTTCAGAAAGAAGGAGCATAGTACATTCCTCATAGGGTTATTGGGAGATTAAGATGAAGTAATATGTTTAAAGTGCTCAGAACAGTGCGTGTAATATAGTAAATCCTACATTTTTTGCTGTTATTAAGGAAAATGATCCTGGAAAAAAAGGCTGAGATGCAAGAAGGAAAAGTAGGCAAAGTAATAGGTTTAAAATATTAGTAAATATTAACAAACACACATTGTAAAACTGTAACATTTAATGTGTAAAATTAAAGATAAGCATTAATTGAAATATTGGACAATAACAGCACATAAATTGATCCTTGGAATGTTCTTGAGAAGGGTAAAAATATTGAATAACTTTCAGTCTTTAGATATCAATTCTAAAATCTCTAAATATTAAGAAAAGAGAAATAGAATCTAGTATATGAGAAAATTCTAAATACAAACTACAAAATATAACAATGTATCAAAAGGTAATACATAATCAAGTAGTGTATATCCCCCAAATTCAAGGATGGTTCATTATCAGAAAAATTAATTACTATAATTCACATTAATAAACTAAAGGTAGCCGGGCATGGTGGCTCAAGCTTGTAATCCTAACACCTTGGGAGGCTGAGGCAGGAGGATCACGAGCCCAGGAGTTTGAGACCAGCCTAGGTAACATAGACCTAGTCTCTACAAAAAATCAAAAACTTTGCCAGGCATGATGGTGCATGCCTGTAGTCCCAGCTACTCGGGAGGCTGAGACAGAAGGATTACCTGAATCCAGTAAGTTGAAGCTGCAGTGAGCCAGATCATGACACTGTACTCCAGCCTGGATGAGACTCCAACTCAAAAAGAAAATAATAATAAAAGACTAAAGGAGAAAATTTGCATAATTATTCCAATGCAAAAAAGACATTTTATAAGGTTTAATATTAACAGAAGATAGCTTTTTTTTTGAGTCAGAGTATCATTCTGTCACCCAGGCTAGAGTGCAGTGGCACACTCACTGCTACCATAGCCTTAAGCTGCTGGGCTCAGGCGATTCTTCTGCCTCTGCCTTCCAAGTTGGTGGAACCACAAGCAGGCGCCACCAAGCCTGGCGAAGTTTTTGATATTTTGTAGTGACAGGGTCTCGCCAAGTTGCCCATGCTGGTATAGAACAATGGGCTCAGGCAATTCTCTCACCTCAGCCTCTCAAAGTGCTGGGATTACAGACATGAACCACCATGCCCAGCTTAGCCTTCTTAATTTGATAAAAAGTCACATACCAAAAGATCTACAACAAATATTGTGTTAATGGAAACATTTTTGGAAACATCTCTTTAAGATCAGTACAAGGAACCCCACTATCATTGCTACCATTTTACATAATTCTGGAAATTCTGCATAATACCATAAAGAAAAAAAGGTGTGCTGGGTGCAGTGGCTCAAGTCTGTAATCCCAGCACTTTGGGAGGCCAAGGCAAGTGGATTATCTGAGCTCAAGGGTTCGAGACCAGCCTGGGCAACTTGGTGAGAAGACCTCATCTCTACAATAAAACAACAACAAAAAAAATTTTTTAAAGAAAGTTGTAAGGATTGAAAGAGAAAAGCTAAAACTATCATTTATAGATAATTTGCCAACCTAATTCTTTAAAAGGCATCAATTATTAGAACTAATAAGAGCATTCAGGAAGGTTGCTGGAAACAAGATCACCCTACAAAAATCAATTGCATTTTTCAATAACAGTTAAGATCAATAAATAATGAGATATTATTCACTATAGCAATAAAAATCATTAAGTATTTAGAGATTATTTAAGAATATTTGACTTTTATAGAGACAATTTTCAAACTCGAATTCAGTTAATCTGAACAAGTGAGGAGACATTCCCTGTTTTTGGATGAGGCAGTTTAAAGATAGTACCTCTCCCCAAATTAATACATTCAATATAATTTTTTTTTTTTTTTTTTTTTTTT